AAGCATTTTTGTAGTCTCAAAATTGAATTGTATTGCTTCCTTTTATTGAACTCATGAAAACATTTTTATACTAGTATTTGAATTTGAAATTTGCAATGTTTAGAACCCATAAAGAGGTTTTCCATTGTTTGGAATTCAAATGYTGTTTTGGATCGTTGCTTTCTTGATTTTCTTTAAACGAGTTAGAACAAGTTTGGCACGGTGGAATAAGGTAGGGAATGAAAATGGTGATTCCATTTGGATGTAAAGATGATGTTTGTTTGACACTCTGGGATGAGAGGAGACTTTCCCTCATGAATCACAGTCATTGAAATCGTCATTTATTGATTAAATATGCATTTTGGATGAAAAAGTTTGATTGTTAAATATGTATTTTGGATTAATAGGTTTGATGGTTAAATATGTAGTTTTAGAAATGAAAGAAATTTGATGACTAAAATAATTACAAAAGAAAAAAAAAATCTCAATCCAAATCCTACAAACCAAACATGATTTATAAAGGAATGGATTTCAAATCCAATCCAAATCCTGCAAACCAAACACATGAATGGATTTTAAATCCAATCCAATCCAAATCCCTCCAAATCCAAATCCCTCCTGCAAATCCAAATCCCTCAGAAACATTCCTGCAAACCAAACGCTAATTTGTCAAATAATTTATAATATATAATATATTTTTTTATATAATTTAATTTAAGTCTAATAATAAAACAATTTATTTTTGTTTTAATATTATAAATTTTATAAAGATAATAATTAAGTATTCTGTTAGAATTTAATGATTATACTAATTATATTTTAGATTTTTTATATTTAAAATAAGATGTTTATCCTGTATTTGGTTGTGTTTATCTGCAGTTAGTTACACGAATTCAGATATGGGATGAAATCGAATAGGGATGAACGGGTTTAAGAGTTTTAAGAGTTTTTAAGAGTTTTAGCCAAATGCTTTATAAGATAGTATAGATAATGTATTTTCAAATTATTTTTTTTATCAATGTATTGTACTTTGAAAAATTTACCTATTATAATATTGGATAACCTTTTGGTTTTAAATTTATTCATTATATCAGTTTTCCATTCCCCCTCACAGTCCACATAAGCTGTCCGCATGTACTACATCGCTTACATGTTATTTCTTATTACAATATTGTATTTTCAAAATTATTTGTTATATTATCACCAGCTCTTTTTACAACGTAGTATTTTTAGTTTTAATGTTTTATTATTTAGACATTGTACATTTTAATCAAACATGTTTACCTAAATTTAGTACCCGTTTCTAATCCTAAATGTTAATTAAAAATTTAGTCTCCCAAAATCGAGATTATAACAATAGGTAAACTTTTGATTTGAATTAAGATGACATGACACGAGTTATCAGATTTCATGTCATGTCATTGTCCACATGAGATGTCTATGTGTAAATTTTTGCTAATGTGACATTCCTTATAACAATATTATACTTTGAGTTTTTTTTTTTTTTTTTTGATTTTACATTATATTTAATAAAAATATTTAAATGAATTAGAAAAATTTAATTTATTTGTTAACATATTAATATTAAGAAGACTGTTAAAACACAATTTATCTCGCTAACATTCTAAAAAATATATG